CGGTTTAATAGTAAAAAATATAGAATTTGAATAACACGTGCGAATCACACCCCTTCGATAATTTATCGACAGCAGTTATGCATCCAATAGACGATGTTAGAAACATGGAATATCTAAGGTTCACTGAGTTCTAAAGGTATTGTTATTAACAATTCATTTATATTTTATATAATATTTAAAAAAAAAAAAATTAAAAATGAATGAAAAAAATATTTTATTTGGACAGCAATATCAATTGAACTTGATTTATATGGTATAAACTGTATATATGCGAATCAAGTAGAACCTTTTTTTTTTTAGTTTTCATTGGAACAGAAATGGCGTTGAAAAATGATAGTAATCTCATTTCCGGTAGAAATTTTTCCCGATTTATGTGCGCAAGAACTTTGCCGAACTATATATGTTTATACACATATATACTTAGACATTCCGGAAGACAACCAGATAGAATTAGTGCAGACCTTACTCGAATATATTTTTAAACTTAAAATAATATCAATCGTAGCCAACAAGACGATTTTTCTTCTTATTTTTTTTTTTAATCTATACACTGTTATTCGTTTTTTATTGAATTATTTCTAATTTTACTCATCCCATTACACAGATGTGAATTTTAGATGCAATAAAATGAAATTAAAAACTGCAGACTAAATGCAAATAAATGAAAAATATGTACTCGTATTATTCATTCAAGTTGTTTTCAAGTTGCATACTTTACACTCCTTTGTGATGTCAAAGAAGATAATTCGCCCGATATAAAATGTTGTTTATCGTGTGAAAAAAATACAAAAAATAACTATAATTGTTGAAAGAATAAAAAAATCAAATAGTTTGAACGAAAATTAAAACAACAATGAGAAATTTTAACAATACTTTCTGTGTAAGTAAAATTGATAAATTGAGAGGTTATATTCCAAATACTATATTTGATTACATGTTTTAGAATGAATAAAACAAGCTAGTCACTAATTTATGGGTATAATAAAAACGTCAATAAGATATTTAGTATGCCTGACATATTACAATGAGGGTCTAGCTACAAGTATGCCAATAGACTGCCAAATAAGCCGAAAAAGTTAAGGTTGTATAAACTTTTACATTCGCATAGAAAGAATTTATACTTTGCTGGAATGCATTTCAGAACTAAACGTTCAAAATTTTTAAAAAAAAAGAAGTTTTTTATATCACAAAAAATGTGTAGTTATATCGTATTTGCTATAGAACAGTTCTAGGAAAAGGAAAACCTTAAGCCACGATAAACTATATTGAATTTAATCCCAATCTAAAAAAACTATATTTTATAGGAGCACTACTCGTGTACTTAAAATGTTATTTTAGACCGATTTAAAATGTAATAACTCAATGGTGACTCCTAAAGTAAGATCATATTTAATTTTAAATTTAAGTTTAATTTAAATGTTTGTAAATTATTATCTCCTGTATATACTATGTATTAATCAAGAAAATTAAGGCTAATAGATTTAATAAAGTAATTAAGTTAAACATAAAAACAAAAATAATAATTATGCCGTTAAACGAATTGATAATTTTTTTCATTAACTTTCAATATAATTCACTACCGATTTATAAACATACTCAAATTTAGAGTATGACCAGTTTGGTTTAAAAAATTATATAGGTACTAGATAAGTAATTCTATTATTGAGAATCCTAATAGAAAATCCAATACGAATAACTAAAGATATGTTAATACCTTTTTTTGGACTCAGAAAAAGCTTTTGGCATTGATATAGGGACATAATTTTTGTTATATTAAAAAGATTATGAATAACATACAACAGTCATAGAGTTATATATAATATAAACAAGAACCAAATAATCCAAATTCAAATAGATGGAATAGAATAAGTACCATGAATTAGTGAAGGAGTAAAGTAAGGATGCATTTTGTCCTATATTTTGTTTAATACGAGTATGTATACTGAAGAAGCTATAAAATAAATAAAAGACGAAATACAAGTAGTAGTAAGAGTAGGTAGGTAAAAGGTAATAGCACTTTGCTTTGCAGATAATATAACGTTTTGCACTGAAAATGAATAAGACTTGCAAGTATTAATTCAAGAAACGGAAGATATCTTAGAAAATTATGGAAAGAAATTAAATATAAATAAAACCAAAGTTATTTCGTGCAGCAAATTTAATAAAAAGCGGCTAAACATAAGCATTAAAGGTGAACCTATTGAACAAGTGTAAAGCTACTGCTATCTTGGCAGTAAAATAACAAACGATGGTAAAAACAGGTTAAAAATAATAAATAAGATTTCACAAGGAAAAAGAGCATTTAAAACAAAAACCGCTTACTAACGATGAACAGTGTTCGGTTAGACACAAGAAAAAAACTTTTTGAATATATACGTATAAGGTGTAACGTTAAACGGATTCGATATCTCTGGACAATAAGTGCGACTGAGAAAAAAAAAATTAGAAGCTTTTGAAGTCTGGCGTAACCTGAAGATGATCAAAATTTAACGGAGAGACATAATAACAAATTAAGAGGTTTTAGAAAGAGTTAAAAAAAAAAGACAAATTTGAAAAATCATTACTAAGAGAAGGGACAATATAATAAGACACTGTGCCTTGTTAGGTCGCTGAAGCTGATTTTTGAAGGATATGTGGATGGTAAGACTGGAAGAAGAAAACCAAAAATGGAATACATTTCACAGATTATGAAGGATACGGATACAGAAAATTATCGTGATTTAAAGGAGTTAAGTTTTAACTGAGAAACTTGGAAAGCTGAGATCAACCAATTAGAGAAATTGAAGACCAAAAAATAATTGATTGAACAAGTTAATTTTGTAGATAAGTTGTAAATAAGTAGTGAATTGTTTCTTTTTATCAAATATAACTTGTATAATATATTTTTAAATGTTTATATATATTTATATCTAAAATTGCTCGTAATATGGAATTTATTGTAGCTAAAATAATATATTCTAAGACTATTATCAAAAGTTTTCAATAATTATTTAAATTAATAATATTTAAAAATAGGTAATAGATTGAGATAAATTATTTTTTTTTATCTATATTTTATCTTAAAACTTAGCGAAATTAATAAAAAAAATGTAAATGTTTTTTTTTACTTCTTATTTACCCTGTAATAATGTAAGTTATAAATACGAGTAAATTGAAAAAAAATGAACTTTCAGAATTTTTTCCATTTATTGAAACAGATACAAATAAGGTTTTTCTAAAAGTAATTATATGTCTTAAATTTTTAATTCCTTAAAAATACACTTTCTTGCTGAAAATGCTGTATTAATATGTGTGTTTATTAATATTATTAATAGTTTAAATTTAATCCTAATAGAAAGAAGAAGAATTTACTGATTTATTTGTACATTTTTTTCAAATAATCCATCTACTCATTTCCCATTCAAGACTATATTGATTAACTCTATAAGCCATTAGTTTAACTTTGGGTTATTCATAAAATATGTTCAATTACACATACTATGATTATATTGAGAACTTTTTACCGAAACAATGAATACATTTTGAAAATCAAAATGTGATGAATAAAGTTATAAAGAAAAAAACAGTTAAAAACACTAAAAACACTACTCCACTGTGCATTAAAAAATATTTGATAAAAACATAATAATAATGATTCGCTAAATGTGGATTGTTAAAAGGTTACAAAACCGTTTGCCACGAGATAACACGCATTTCTATGAAATATTAACGCATATACCTGTGAGTATGTACATTGTATTAATATATTATAGAATGAGTGAACGTTTCTAAATAGTTCAGCTGTTATAGTTTATGTTATATCAAAGACTGACATGGTGATTGAAAAATTCGGTCGACTTATTGGCGAACGTAAAAATGATTATTTTATTTTTACGTCAAGACCGAACGTACCCTGTCTTGTTGCAGATTGATTCTTTTCGTTGAACTCATAAAACATACTGCAGGAGATATTATTTTTTATAGTCGCCGTTACGCTTTTTATAGCCCAAAAATATATATTTCGAACCCGTCAACAAACGGTCGTTGCCATGGACAACAAACATGCCGTGTAAAAAATTTACCATTTTTTTTTTCTCTTGAAGCAACACTCTATAGGGACGTTCATTCATGATTACTATGATATTATATACATATTTAATAAACCGAATGACTTTTTCACAAAGCTAAAAAAAAAGCTAAGAACATTTTTCACTTATATCTAACTCTATGTGTTTTGCGTTTGAGATTATTGTTTTCTTTCTGTGATTTGTAAATTGTACAAAACATTGTTAATAAACCGGTGTGTTGAAATTTCTATCAAATCAAACTGCATATAAGAAAATGGATACTTTTTCATATTTTCCTATGGACCACTTTTATCAATTATTGCAACTGACGTATAAATCGTTATTATTAGATTTATGTTGAATTTTTTTTTTTTTTTTTAGAAAAACAAATCATCGAAATTCGAATAATAATTATTCATTCAAGAATCAACATCAGATACATTATTTATAAAAGAAAAAAGAAAAAATGATTTTCAAAACGAAATATAGTACAATTTTTCTTGACTGACATTCCGTGGAGTCTAAAGGTTCCGTGAGCCGACGCCGAGAGTTCCGTTAGAAATTTGGGAAAATATAAATTGATAAATAATATTTTTAATTTAAATTATGATTTGAATTTAGAAGAGCTCCTTTTCTTGCTAAAACTTTTCTTATTTTACGATATTATATTGTGTGTATAAAAATAAGATAGGTAACACTAATACAGAGTATAGGACGAAACGAAATAAAACAAATTTAATTAATATTTTTTTTCTGTGTAAATGATAAAATAGAATGTAATAGAATATGTTTATTATATATATATGTTATGGTTATGCTGGTGGTTCGCGTAATAAAAACAGTATCACCGTTAACGTGAAATAAAAATTATTCATAACATACATGTTACAATATCTTATACGACGTGCAATTGTAACGCTAAAATTAAACAGTTTGTAATGTGGTTGTACTCACTTGGAATTCGGTTGATGGCTCTGAGTGGTCTCAGCACTCGTATCGTACGTATGGCGGAGAAATTTATGTTCTCCACATTCAGACAGTACTCCAGAGCACTGAAAAGCGAGAAAACAGTTAGAAATGAAATTACAATAATAATTATAATATAGCCATTATTAAAAAAGAACAAAACATCTCGCCCAGTAAACATTTCAAAACAATTGCTACCACACATCTATGGTAACTCACGAGCACACCCTGCCGACTTCATGATTTACAGGAATTTTAACGAATATAATAATTTTCGTTAACCGCCATTAATCACGCTAGCACCCTTATGCACAGCAAACTATGTTATATGATATGGCGGTAGAAATGAAAACACACAACACAATATATTATTGCAACACGTGTTTGCTGTGGAGTTGTTGCGAGAGGGTGTGTAGAACATTAATGCGAATCGTTCACGAAAAAAATTAAATAAAACTAACATCATCGATGACCATGGCCGCAACGGAAAAAGTGTCAAAAACCTTAAAAACGTTACAGAAACAATAATACGAGAATCGTCCCATGTCAGCACGGACGAAAGCGCAGGACGATACTTTTCCGAATTCGATTGAACAGTGAGGTCTTGTATAATGATAATCGAATATTCGAAACGGAAAAATTCGGCAAAAGGATCGAACGATGATTGCATAGGTGGCTGAAAAAGAAATAATGGTAAGAAATAACAGCCGAGGCTTTTCAGTGAACGGATTACGTCAAAACCGTTTTGATGCGTTTATTGCTTTTTTATTTATTATTATTTTTTTTTTCCAGAGAATATTTAAAACTGTCAACATATTATTTAAATTATGTTCGTTTAAGGTTTTTTTATTTTCAATAGAAATAACGAGAGTGATAGAAATATACCATACGCCATGTAGAATAATATATTTTAAAAATAAACATTATTTGAAATCATTAAATATTCAGTAACGGTAAAATTTTGAACGACCACCATCGGCCGCAGTTGATTGGCTTGATTTTATTAAAAAAGTTTTTTTTCCCTCTTCATCAGTTCTTATTTTTTTTTTTTTTTTGTTTTTTTTTTTTACATTTAACCGAGGAAACTATTTTAAAATATCGCTCACTCCTTTCAATAGCCTCATATCTCATAAAGCTCGAATTATAAGGACACTGACTTTAAAGATAAATAGTAGAATAAATATCCTAAAATTAATATTAATCTAACGTTTGAAATGTTTACTTCGTCATCCTTTAAAGATAAGACCTAGATTTTTTCTTTATTTAAAAAAGAATAACCTATAAATATTTCAAATTTAAAAAGTTCATGGTCGATTTTTTAGGTATGACGTTGTTGAAAGGAATGAGCCATTATGCATTTTATTGAATTTTTTCCCGTTCATATTTGAACGAATACATACAATTGAGTTTTTTTGCATTGCATAACATTAAGTTCCAATAATGTTTAACGCATTAATGCATCTTAGTTATTGTAAGTTTTATGTATTGTACACCCATAAATTATAATAAACATTTTCAAACATTCCCTGGCCACAGTATTTGTCGGATTATAATTAAAATGATGCCTCGACAAACATTTATCGACTTTGAACGTCACAAATGAATTAAATAAAAAATACAAATAATGAAAGAAGAGTAAATAAAGCCTGTTTTGCGCAATTTTCCATGCATTTCTGCACGGGTCGGGTGAACGTTTTTTTTTCCCTGACGGATTAACGCGTGCGCTCAATAAATTCTGCACCGATCTAAAAGGGGAATACTTCTCAGTATTTATATTGTAATTTATTTTTGAATCAACAATGTTAATGGATTATTTGTTTCACATACCTTTGATATGAGTAAATTTGTAATTTTTACTCAAAACCAAAAAACCATTATTTCACACATAAACGTACATTAACCAAGGTAGAGTTATAGGACTGGAATCGATGTAAAACTAGTGACAACTATTTTCGAAAACATTTACGTTTGTGTTTACTAATTATTCATTCGTCCTGGAACACGGAGTATGTATGCAGGCACGAAGTTTAAATACATTTTTACGAATACTTTTCATAATATGTGATAAGTATTTGTATTTTTCACACGTGCCCTTGTCGCGGTAAGACGTACAGGTGGACGCCACTGCAAACTTACCCAGCGATAACGATGAAGAAATCCAATCTGTTCCAGGAGTCTGCGAGATATGTGCTGGGACCGTATGCGCCCATCGCGATCATTTTCACGATCATTTCCAGTGAGAAGAATGCGAATATGAAGTCGTCGAAAACCTGCGCAGAAATTTGCGTAACACATTATTATGGTATATGTGGTGCAAAAAACGGACAAAAGACAAGGACAATTATTTACCTGCAGTATTCTGCACCTCCTGGATATGCACTGATCATCCACGCACGGTTGGTACATGCCCAGCGTGATGCAGTTAAGCAATATGACCAGCATACTAGCCCTCTCAAACCACGTGCACGGATCGGTTAAGGAAATTCAATAAACAGGTACGCTTTATCAAATATTGTAAGGTTAGGTATAGTTATAAGAATATTATTAACAGTACCGTATAATATTTTTTATGTGTATAAAAAATGTATTTATTTGTCTTACTACATTTATATTTAAAAGGCAAATTTTACTCAACAACTATGGTCAAAATTAACCATCTATACTTAAAAATAATTATATACCTACATTCAATGTGGTAATTTTATTTTTAATTATTTTTAATTATGTTGAAAATGCCAATTTAAGGTGACATTATTATTTTTTCCTCGTGTATTACTCAATCGATGCCATATAAATATGGTCAATCATATTCTATAATATTTAGCACTTCATTATCGTTTAAAGTGTCGTCAAATAAAATAATATAATAAAATAATTAAAATCATTAGAAATATTCATCCCTTTACGACGGACGTTCAACGTGCACGAACCATTCAACGATTCTCACCTGCAGTCGAACGAAGCCGTGATTTTAGTTTTCCCGGTGTACTGAAACATATTTTTATGGTGATATGAAAACTATGGTTCTATCATTGTTGGCTATATAGCGAAAACAAAAACATTTATTGTTCAAAAAATGTCAGGTTAATATTCACAACGGGCCGCATTATAAATCAAATGAATGAAATGTCGTCGAACTGGGAATTTGACCAAATTTTCGTCGGACCGATACTGATACCCGATGGCCGATTTCCCTTCCTGAACGTTTTCAGTTTCATCGCCTGGGCTGCAGATGTAATCGGCCCATCGGTTCCCAAATGTCTGCAAGCGGATCGAACATGTCACAGTGGTAAAATCCAGTAACACGGGCACTACAGCGGATACCCATTCCGAACAGCAATGTTTCAATCACATTTGTTCGACGAGCAGCGGTTAGCCGTCTCGATTTCTGCTGTCGAACGCACCAATATCGTGTTCCGAATAAGTACTAAGGAATACAAATAACGAAAGTGTTCGTACGAACGTTTAACGATGTCGTCGAACCCGTGTAGTGTTTTACGCGTTGATCAGTGACCGTCAGTTGCCGGTTCGTACCAGGGGCTTATTTAGACTTACTTCTAGGGGGGGACTCAAATTTTTTCTTTAATTCAGGCTCAACATTTACAAGTAAAATTCGTGGTAATATTTAAATCAGGTGAATTCTTAATATTTGTGGTTTTTTTTTTTATAATCTAACACTGGATCCACTTAGAATTGACTTTTGTGTAGTTTTTTCTTAATACTTGTTTGTGTTTTATTTGATTTTTCACTTAGTATGGACACGACATAAAGCCTAATTCAGTATTTACAGAAACGTGTAATTTGATTTCGTTGTAAAATGACCCACATTAAAAAAAATTTGAAATATGTACCTTACATATAGTCAATTTCTTCAATACAGATTTAGAAGGTGATCACCCCTTCGCCAACCTAAAATATGCCTATGGTTCGTACTAATCAAGTCGTGCCTACTCGCTGTTTGCTGATTCGCGTCCGGTAAAATAATCGTCTGTATTTGCTAAACCGAGAACACGGTCACATTCGGACGTACCGTATGAATTGTGGGTGCTTGCGACTTATAAAACTTTGCCCGAAGTTACAGCATGGTACCGCAAAGTTGATTTCGTTCAACTTTCGAACGCGTGGTTACTGACCATAATGGACAAGTGTAATAAAACGGTACAACGCGTAACCAATTTTCGGATCCGTCAATGAGCGGTACGAGTACGAACAACCCTTTCGTGATACGTGTTAGTATCGGACGTTTTAAGACATTACGCGCGCGATGCCAACTCTTGAAAATAACCCGAAAAATATTTATCTGGGATATTGTTAAAGGCTACGAAAAAAAGAAAAAAAATGTATGAAATTCAAGACAAAATATGCATTTCGATTACTTCGTGACGGTTTTCAAAGCACAAATATGATATCATCAGAAAACTCGGCAAATACAAAAAATAAAGAAAAGATATTGACAAATGTGAACTGCGTGAAAATCATTATAATATTAGAATATTAGATATAATATTAGATATCTGCTCCAAAAAGTTCGATATTTGTATGCGTGGTAGGATATGCAAAAAAAAAAAAATACACAAACGTATTCAGAACTGAATATATCAATAAAATGCTCATCTTCGTATACTGTTCAACTCTTATTCGAAAACACTGATTCGGTGTGGTAGCTTTTTGAACACGAATACGCGTTGTGCAGCTTAATAAGTTTCAATCAATGTAAATATACAACATATACAAGTCATATACAAATATGAAATATAAAAATATATATTAAATATATATAAAAATATATATACATATACAAGTCTGGTAGAATACTTATCTATTTTTGATGTAAAATATTTTATGGAGCGGTACGGTGACGAGGAAAACAATCGCTCGTGGCTTTGCACTATAAATTTCCGCTGTGTTTTCAGCGCAGGGGGGCAAATGCCTATGTTACCGTGATAATGCAAAACCCGTACGACCGGTACATTTTTTAAAAAATCCATTCTATATTAACTAAAAAATAAGTGACTGACTACAGTCATCATAGTAACCGCCGTACCGGAAAGAGTTATTACGTTACCTCGTTTAACACATTCGACGGCTGCAAGTGATTTCGGAGGTTTTACCGTGATGCCGCGTTGAGATCTACGGCAATAAAAACGCAACTCTAACTATTTGCAAAATGTTGTTAGATTTTGTAATTAGTTTTTAGAATTTTTTTAGCTCCTTATCTATATTAAATGAATGTAGTAGTACTACTTATTAGATTTTGATAGATATGTATGAATAACAATTTAACTAAAATCAAATAAATCACCGTTATTGTTATTGTTATTGTTATTAACGTCCGTCCCGAGCGTAACGTAAAGTTAAACGAACAAAATAAATCGTCCAAATCTGTATAAAAATAGTCATGTATGTGATATAATATATAATATAAATATCTCTAAATGTTGTTTTTTTTTTTTTTTTTAAATTCTCTAAATGTGTTAATTTTGAAGTATTAATGTCACAAAAACTAAGACCAACAACTAAATTGAATTCTAAATTGATTGTTTATGGCCTACATAAGATTCCGAGTTTATTAAAATGAAAATTACTGAATTGTTATGAATTATGAACGATTAATTATAACAAATTAAAATGTTTCCGTTTCTGACGCGTAGTTTTAAACTTTTCAATTTAGGTATTAAATTACTATATATATGTGGGATCAGTAGGAATAACGTAGGTGAATGTTAACCTTAGAATCAATATATTATAACGCAACAACAAATTACAAACACTTAAAAACAAATAAAGTATGTAAAAACTAAATCACTTCACAATGACTCGTCGGGCGTCACAACATCACTGCCCTCTCCAGACATGTCATCACACCGCCTTGGATTGACCTGACCAACCCCAATGTTACCATCCCACATATATATATATATATGTATATAAATATTGTAAATAAAGAATAATTTTTCAGTAAAAAATCTAAATATTTTTATTTTATTTATTTTTTGTCATATTTTTCGATTTTGCGATATTTCCTTTAAGAAATCATACTTTCATGCATATTTTCTATAAAAAAAATAGTTTCAATGTTTCATGGCTAATGTTTTGTATTTGTCAGACGTCCCGTGATGGCTCAATTCTTTTCAATTACTGTTGCGAAGACGGAAGAAAAATTCCAATTTAGAAAAATCTATTAACATTATTCTTCGCTTTCATTATAAAATCATACAACATAACGGCATGGCTTATTTTCATACAATGTCGTTATATTTTATGGTATCTCTTAAGTATATAATGGATCAATATCGATCAACAAGGAAAATTATGTCTCCTATAGTTTTCTAAATTTCTAAATTAATAAATGTTATTTAAAACCGTATTAATTACTAAACTTAACGTGTTTTTCAAATATAATATTAAATAAACTGCCAATACAAATAAATACTAGCTGACCCGACAGACGTTGTTTTGTCATATAAATTATTTCTAGAGAATATTTTGCTAGAAAAAAAATAACTAATTTAATATAGGCATATAAGGATGTGGATAAGCATAAGGATGTAAGGAAGAGGTATGGAGCGCTATGAACGACGACGAAATATAAAAATGAAAAAACATCAAACATTTATTTTTTTAATAATTTATTAAAATTGGTCCATTAAAATGATATACATCGCTAATTATGACAATGTTTGTAAAAAACAATATCTATCCCTTAATGCAACAGAGTGTACAATATTTTTTGTTATCCCATCTTTCGACAACACAAACTGGATGGTTCAAGAACACGCCACGTATAATTTTCCGTGTAAAAAATATGATGTACTCAAAAAAATGATGAGACCGAAAAAATCGCAATACCCTTAACGGTTCGTTTTGGGGGTGCTGGAGACATGTGTCCCCAGCACCGCCCCCATTTTTCGTTTGTAGTGCTTCAACAAAGTTCGTACAAATTTAGGGAATAGGCATACAAATTCATACAAATTGCATATTAAATATTTAGCAAAAAAAATAATACGAATTTCGTATGTGGGGGTGCTGGGGACATGTACGTTAAATCTAAGCTACTGGCAGACATCGTTTGGCCTTGAGACTTATTGATAGTCATTGCAAATGCCAATCTAATTGGAAATTGAAGGCGTTTAAATTATATTGGCACATCTGTGAGTATAATAGGAATTCGCGGTAATAATATATTTTCACCTCAGAATTTGCCATCTAAATTAATGGCTTCGATAACATTTTTTATTAATTTTTTAACGACTTATCGCGAGCCGCTGTACAACCATGGTGAGTCAAATTGCGAAGCAAAATAACCGGAGATCAAACCTTCAATTGTAAATTATGCGATAGCACGCCTGGTAAATCCAATGAGTTTAAAAACTCTATTGGATAATTTACAGCTTCAGTAGCACCGCAAACTGTATCAATAGATTTGCATGACACCAAGTCTCCTTGTAACAAATGTTGTAT